TATATAAATTTCAAGTGTGAATGAATATCTAGGATGGTTATCAAATCAAAACATTTCATTAATTATTGCTAATAAAACAATAATATATTTTTTTTTTTTACTTTTGAATGTGTTAATCTTTTGCCATTGAGAAAACAAATCATATTTATTAATTATTAAATGTCTCTATTTCCATTTTTTGGTTGTTTGTCAAAGATACTGGCTGCAACTTTTGATGTTGGTTGCAACCACATAGTCTTATTGCTGGCATTGTCTTCATTTCTTATTAAAATTCATTTAATCATTTGATAGTCATCTCATTTAAATTTATATCCAGTATATTATCACCATCCTCTTTATCATGTTTGCTTTCACTGATATTGCCACCTTCTCCCTCATTGTAAAGATGATAAAGAGTCATTAAAATATCAATAAATAAAAATTGTTAAATTAATGTTGGTATTTATGCATAATAGAATAATGTTGACAATATATTACAGTTAAATTAAATTAATTATAATATTTTGCAAGTAAGAATTAATTAATTAATGATATCTTTATTATTGTTGTTGTATTTTTTTCTAAAGAAAGAGAGATTAACAGTTTATCAAATCCACAAGTTATCAACAATTGCCTTTAATTTCACCACAACTTTATTTGTCACAATCCATCAATGTCTTTCATTATAATCAAGCCATAACCAAGCCAATTTTCAGATGTTTAAGCATTTATATTATATTTTTTATCCTTGAAATTATTTAAAAAGTTAATGTAGTGAAGGCAATTATATTTATTTAGTTAGGATATGATTATTGAATAATAAAAATAAAAATATTATTATTAGTAGTATATGCTCTATTAGTAAATGAACAACAGTGATTGATCATTAAATAAGGACAAATTTTACAGCAACACCTTCTCTTTAAAGCCACCAATTTTCTTAAAACATCTAAAAATCATTTAATCAATATAATAATTTTAAAATAATTTTTTTTTCAATAAATCAATTATTAATGATGAAATAGTATGTGCATAATTCTAATAATTGTAAGAATATTGTTCTCATTTTGCCATAATATCCAAATGTTTTGTCACTGGTAGGTATATCAGTTGATTCATCAACTATTATACCAAATGCTGTGCCTCTAAAAGTTCATCCCAAAATTGTTCTTTGTGAGCTTTGAAATAGCTATTGACATTTCATGACCTGAAATTTTGGATATCTAACTGATCCTTCAGTAATAATTATTTTCACATTAAAATTTTACGAGATATTCTTAAAAAGACTTGATAAATTTATTTAAGGAATTATTTGTTGTGGCGAAGTGTTTCTATTCTCAATAAATTAGCTATACAAATTATTAGTTGATTTCTTAACAGTGAGAGAAGGTAATATCAATTCCTGTTTTTTTTTTCCTTGTGTTCTCAAAAAAGGCTTTGTTAATTTATTTAAACTGAGAACAAACCTGATTTTTTTTGTGGTGGCAAAGTATTCCTATTTAAAAAGTCTCGATCGATTCTCTTTAACCATAATTATTAATATTCTCAGCCGATTTCTTTAACAGTGAGAGAAGATAATAATAATTCCGTTTTTTTATGTTTTCAAATTTATGATTGCCTCGATTAGATGATCAACAATAAAGATCTTTATTTCTTGGTTATATAATGAACCTTTTCTCAAAAAAATTGGAGAGTGCAAGAGCATTGCAATTGCATAGTGAGGTAATGCAGAGAAGCAAAACGTTCTTTAAAGAATCGAATATTTTTCGTACTACGCTAAATAAGGTGAAAACGTTGATCGCATCAAAAACCAAAAAGACCAAGCACTAGTGTTAAGACTTTACTATATATTTCTTTGAAAGGCTATTACTCCATCATCGGAAGAGCTACTGACGCATAATGATTGCGTTTTAAAAGGCAAAGACGCGTGATTGTTTCTACTTAGAGACACAAAGATTGTTTACGTTCAATTCATTCGTCAAAAATTTTACCATTAATTCGTGATACGTGATAGAAGTACAGTGCGGATCATACTCAAAAGTTAAAATTTTTGAAATATTATGTGATCCACACATTGGATTTTAAAAAACTTGCCACCATTCAATTCAGCTTTAAAAAGGGAGTCTATTAAAAAAATTTGTCTCAAATTTTCTTTTCATAGATTTTTTAAATTTGAAAGTTATGCTCAGAAGTGCAACAATATTTTGAATCTTACGACCAAATTTGGTAAGGATTTTCTTTTGATGTAATATGTTCGTTAAACTTTTTTGTTGTAAAGAACTTTTATTTATTAATAAAAAAAAAGGAAATAAATAAGTCAAATAAATCAAATGCATGTTGTAAAAAATATTCTATGAAAAAAATTTGTTACACGAAATTTACTTGTCTCAATTTCTTAAGTGTATAACAAAATTCGGAATTTTTTGTTTTAGTCTTTTGAAGTTGACCAATTGTTATTATAAGCAATTAATGATTATATCTAACAGCATCAAATAAATTGCTGATCTTTAAAATGTTAAGGAACAAAACCATATATAAAATTACAAAAATAACTCTATTTTTGCAATCTACACACAAGCAATAGTGTAATAGAGTTTTATTAATAAATTTTACTTTGAAAAATTAAAATTTGGTCGCTTCCATTCTTTCTATAAAATCAAATAACGTGGCCTGCTATTTACTATATTCATTTGTAATGTAATTATTCCATGAAATATATAAAATTCCACTAGTATATATTAATATATGCAAGACCAGGCGGTTTGAGTATGTATTAAGATCCATTGGCTGATTGCGAAATCGACATACCCACGTGGTGTTGCACATCTTGTACTTTTTAGTAAAGATTTCGAGCTTATTACCCAATAACATTTTTTACCTTTAGCCCTCGATTAGAAGTTTCCGGGTCCTATGCATATTATAATAATTAATATAAGTATTAATTTTTTAGTGATGATCCTGGTTGGGTTATGTGATTTCATGGGATGACGGTAAATATTATTGCATTTTGAACATAACTCTCCTATTTTTGAGATTTGAATTTTTTCTCAAATTTAGCACATGGCCAACATTTGATGTCTTTAGATGACGCAATATACACGTAAGTCAATGAGAATCAACTTTGAAATTTTGCGTTGGATAATTCTTTGTGGAGAAAAAATATCACGTGAAAACACGATATTTCAGTGTTATCACGTGAAATAATATTTTTCCCAGTACATTTTGGGCAAGAAATTTGCGCATACCACGAGCGCGCCCAACATACATATATTTCAAGGTAATAAAAAACGTTGTGGGACTAACTAGATAACTTATCTTGCACTTAAGTTTTGAATGCAATTAAGATAATTTAATTAATCGATCCTTAACTTCGGACAATGTTTGATTATTTAATGAATTAATTAATAATAACATTAAAAGATTGAAGATTCTTCTGTTCTATTTTTATAAATGCTCATATATAGTATATGCATTTGATAAGTTATGACAATATTTTTTTATTTTCTCGTGAAATTAATTGTGTGTGTGTATATTATTAAATACATTATTATTATATAATTGTTGTTATTATGATAATAATATTACTATTGATTATTAAAAAGAAATTAATTATTAATTTTTAAAAAAAAAAAAAATCTAAAATAAATAAATAAAGTTTTTTTACCTCATTTATCATAATTTCATCACATCTTCTATTTATAAATATTTCAACAAGTGGTTTCCTTAATGATTTTTTTAGTGAAGTTTGTGATTTCTTCCTTTTACACGACGAGAAAAATACATCATTATTATTATTATCATAATATGGTTTTTTTATAGGATCGTGATTTTCTTTATTATTATCATCCTTAGGTTTTGAATTTATTTTAATATATTTCATGATTATTATTGTTATCGTTATTTTAGGCGTATTGTTATATTTGATGTGGAATACTTTATAAAATATTGTAAAATTAGTAAAAACGCGTTTTTTCATTAATTAAAAAAAATTTTTAATTTTAATTTTGAAGATTTACCTAATAGTTGCTGCTGATAGAGTATATATTATATTATCTATATATTTAATATACATACATACACATATATATATATATTATAAGAATTTATTTTATTCAAAGAGAAAATATTTATTTATTAAATGACGTGTGTTATCAAGCAGAGGTAGAAGACCAGGGTGGAAAAAAATGAAAAAATATACAGAAACTAACTGTCACCACACGCACATTTATTTATATAAATATGTACGCGCGTTGAATATAAAAAGATAGATTGTACAACTAAAGTGGAATTTTTTTTTGGAAGAAGAGTATAAATTATTTAATTTTAAACGCGAATCTTACGCGATCGCATAATTTTAACAATTACAAAAAGTATCTTTGTTGCCAATGCCATGTGATGTGTTAAATGATGATCAACCAAACATGTGTATAAATAGAATACAATTACTTGTTTTGAAAAAAAAATTTTATTTCCTAATCCAACGACTACTTCAACTCTTACTGTAAATATAACAGCAGAAACAGCAGAAACTGCACTCTTAACAACACAAATTCAGGTATGACTAGAACAAGAAGAACAACAACAGTTTATACAACAAAAAAAATGATTAATAATAATTTTTTTCTTTAAAGATTACAGCGGAACATCATCAAATATTAATGGTCTAAATAATGCGCCTTATTACTCTACTACAATTACTGATAATTACTGATGCAATAAACAAAGATAATTTTTCTATTCGATTCAACTCGTAAAATGATGCGTTTTTTCAACAAATAAACATCATCATCGTCATGGCGTTATAATTATAATTATATAAATTTTAGTTTAAGAAGTTTGTATCTATTGAATTAATTTATGGATTTTTTTTATTGTTTAGCTTGCACGATGTCATTTCCACGTAGCATTAATCTGAAAGGACTATCTACCTATCTACAGTATATACATATTA